GGATAGAGGCTTTGCAACCCCATCCCCCACTGTCTATACTTAAAATCATAACCAGCTTAAATTTTAGTTGTTTCTTACTTTAAAAAAAAAAAAATATTTAGAGGACCTTGCTTCAGATCATGCCAGTGAAGCCTATCACTGAGTCTTTTACACATACTGAAAAATGCAGGTCAACTGCTAGGCTATGGGAAGGTAGCAGTGAAGCCAGATTAAAATAACAGTTTAGATGAAGTCTGCCTTACAATCCACAAATTGCGTTTTACATAGGACAAATCAGGCCAACTTGTTAGCCAGAAGTAATCTTGGGTTCCTTCAGAAAGCATGCATAAGGTTGAAATAAAGACAAAGTCCCACAACATTTGAAAACAGAAGATATAAACTCTTATACACTGCTAAGAGATGCTAAGGAGGAAAAATAATTCCAGGGCCTGGTTCGACAAACAACATAAAGCATCACAGCCAAAAGTGCTAGAACAACAGGGTCTGCTCTGAATGTTAATTTCCCGTCCAACTGATAATTGCAAAGCTAACATTTACACAATATAGTCAGACAAGGAAAATCTCCCATCTCATCTAGCAGGCAGTTCTGCAAGGAGTGAATGGAAAGCAAGCAGCCAGAATACGTAATTAGGTCCCATACTTGCAGTATTTGGTCTCCAGCAAGAAGTCTTCCATCTCTGGCAATGATCCCATCTCTGTAAACCTCCTGAATGACAATGTTGATCAAAGGCGTTTCATTGCCACCCACTATGCTAATTCCTAATTCGATATAAGGATTGGACCGATGAATCTCAATTGTGGTGATCTCTCCTTCAGGCAAGGTAGGTGGCTGTTGATTTGCTGCCAATTATTTTATAAAAAGAAAGATGATTAATATCCTTTACACCTCATTCACCTTCAGTAAAGCAAATCATCAAAGGACAATGTAGACAGGCCACACGACAGCGGTTTAACAACAAACTAAACAAGTGCAATTGGTTTAGTTCCACTACTTGTTGGAACACCTAGCTCATTAGACACAGCTCTCTAATGACTTAGTAGCATCCATGCTTCTTGAAATGGGGTTATTTGTATTGGAAAAGGATATTCTGAACCCTTTGGATCCTGTCCTTCAGAACAGACTTCATACACTTAATTTCCAATTGGGTCACTTGTGTATTCAGATTTGCTGACGGTGATAAAAATGTGTTTTAGGGGTTACCCCAATGGCGCATGACTTGGTCACGCCTCTTCATCAGCTGGTCTCATGACAACACTAGGAGTTGCCATAGAGTTACTGTGTTAAGAGTAACAGCCCATTTCTGAAGCAAACATGGAGACAACTAAAGAGGAAAAAGGGAGATGCTAGAAGATGGCATATACAGAGGAGAAGGAAGGGGACAGGACCACCTTCCTCTGTGGTAAGGCTCAGTGCTTCCTCTCTAAAATCCCAGATGCTAGAGACGTTACTGCTCGTTCGGTGCAGATGGATGCAGGAGTTACTCGGCTGCCTTTTCGTTCGAGCAGGACAGCACTCCGTGTGTGGGAAGGCTGCTGATCCGGGCAGGGGGGAAGCGGGAAGAGGGGAAAAGAAATCTCATCTTAGAAAACAACTTTTGTAATTTTGCAGAAAAAACACTCCTTACATCTCACTGCAAGGCCAGTGCTACTAGTAGATTAACATGAACTACTGCACCATGACATGATACAGCACCACAAAATCTACCAAACACTCTGAGATATTTCTTTCCCTCCTAACTGTGACCTTATCCCAGTTGTATACTTGCTTATAAATAAAACCCACTAATATTTCTCCAGGAATCGCAAGAGAAAAGAGCAGAAGACAAAAAAGTGCATTCACGGTTGGTAAGAGACAAGCTCTGACACCACAAATGTTTCCACATCTGATAAAAGAGACTTGAGAAGATAAGTGATGACATACTGTCTGCTACTGTGTTCTCCTCAAAAGGCGGATTGTCGATGCCGGGCTCGTCTGTCCATGCAGGGAGGGCGGGTGAGGTGAAGCTCTGCTCAGCTGGCACTATTCCCTGATCTGCGTCCGGAGACAAACTGCTAGGCTGCTCCGTCCCACCGGGACCACTCTCGCCTTCCGATTCTGCTTGCAGTTTGCTCGTTTTCCTTCTCTCCAGAGCAACCCTTCGATGAGAAGCCCCTGGACACCTGTGAAGACAACATTCATACCTTGCTTCAGGCCTGCAGCAATGTTTGTGGCACAACATGCCCAAGTACTTCATCAAATGAAATCGGTATTCTCCAAAGGCGCAGCTTTAAACTAATCATAAAAAATATTAAACACATTGGATTTTAAGGCCAAAATACGTTTTAATGGGCAGAACACCAAAACAATGCTGCCTTCTTCACAAAACTTTTACCATGTAGTATTTTGGCCATTAACTAAACATGCTGTAATACCTTCTGAATGTGGACATATTCTGTTATGTACATTCCAGTTTCTGGAAGATAACCTCCCTGAAAAGATTAAACAGGACTGGCATAAAATTCCACAGAAGAGAAGCCCCCTTCAATGACACATTTGGGGACTCACTGGAGCAATCTCCTCTCACCTTAGTAAGCCAAGAGAAGGGTCATATTTTCCTGGGGTCATTCGGGGCAGGAAAGAGATCAAAATTTTACCTATACTGCAATCTCAGTGTTAAAAATACTGGGGGAAAAAAAAAAATGCTTGTCTAGGAGTTTGTATGGAACGCTTAGCAAAAGTAACGGCTCTGCTTATCATCTCCTCTGGAATCAGTAGGTGTTTCATCCTCCTCCTGTCTCCTCTTTTTTCTTCCTGACTTCACACAGGACATGCAATTATTTGCTTTCCCTTGTGTAACAATGCTCCATCAGCAATTGGCACTTTTCACTATAAACTCATTTTTGTGACTTCCCATTATTCATAGTGCAACGGTTTTTATGCTTATACTTAAAATCCTACAATAGTTTATTGCAAAGAAGAGCAGAAATGTTGCAAATTCATGGAAAGCCTTCATTTATCGAATGGTCTTAGATTTAAGTGTTAATAATTGGATGTGGACATCAATCTTGCATCTGCCTGTGTGACACTTTTGCCAGCGTCTGTTATTTCACATCTTGCAGTATTTTATGTCCTTCTTCTGGAGCTGCTGACCACCTACAGATGCTCGTACTGTAGCAGTGTCAGAAAATAAAGGAACAATGTCTAAAAAGGACTCCCTGTTTGAGAGCTTGGCAGATTGTTGTAACAAAAGAAGAAATGCTTTATTTTTGCAATAGAAGAAATGTATTAACAGAGTAAAAGACAGCAGAAGTCTAACAATGTCCTAACTTGTTAAACCAGAATGTTTTGAGAACCACAATTATTTCTGCCATTTTGTGAAGGGGATTTGATAATCATATGGTTAGACTGGTTTGATATGAGGGATTTTGAAGAACTGTTACCAAAGTTATTCAGCTCTGAAGAATGGCTCACATGAGGCAGCAGTGTGTGCTGGCAGCCTGGAAAGCCAACCGTATCCTGGGCTGTATCCAGAGAAGTGTGGCCAGCAGGTCGAGGGAGGGGATTCTGCCCCTGTACTCTGCTCTGGTGAGACCCCACCTGGAGTGCTGCGTCCAGCTGTGGAGCCCTCAACATCAGAAGGCTATAGACTGGTTGGAGCAAGTCCAGAGGAGGCCACGAAGATGATCAGAGGGCTGGAGCCCCTCTGCTATGGGGACAGGCTGAGAGAGTGGGGCTTGTTCAGCCTGGAGAAGCGAAGGCTCCAGGGAGACCTTATAGCACCTTCCAGTACCTGAAGGGGCTACAAGGAAGCTGGGGGGGACTTTTTACAAGGGCCTGTAGTGACAGGACAAGGGGTAACAGGGTTAAATTGAAAGTAGGGAGGTTTAGCTTGGACATGAGGAAGAAGTTCTTCCCGGAGAGGGTGGGGAGGCACTGGAACAGGTTGCCCAGAGAAGTTGTGGATGCCCCATCCCTGGAAGGGTTCAAGGCCAGGCTGGATGAGGCTTTGAGCAACCTGGTCTGGTGGAAGGTGTCCCTGCCCATGGCAGGGGGGTTGGAACTAGATGATCTTTAATGCCCCTTCCAGCCCAAACCATTCTGTGATTCTACGATTCTATTTTGCTTTGTGAAAAGTTTCTCTGATTTTAATGTTCAAACACAACCCTATTTCTTGGTTTTGACCATGTAATATTTACTACATAAAAACACTGGCACTAAGAAATCAGCTAAGAAATCAGACTGGTCTTAATTTATTCTGATGGTCAGAGGCACACAGTTACAGGTGAAACTTGGCAGGAAGTTTTTCTTATTCACCGTTTCACAATATCAACCTAAACCCAAGAATCTCAAGAGGCCAAGAAAAGGAAAGATGAAATCCCTTCCCTTAAAATTTCTGTAATTTGGTCAGGCATTGAAACAGGCTGCCCAGGAAAGTGCTGGAGTCACCATCCCTGGAGGCATTCAAAGCACCCGTAGACATGGTGCTTGATGACATTGTCTAGTGGGTATGGTAGTGTTGGGCTGATGGTTGGACTATGTGATCTTATAGTCTTTTCCAACCTTAGTGATTCTGTGAAAACAACTTGACGGGTTAGCCCCACACTCCCTCGAATCTTAGCACTGGCAACAGGACAAAAAAGGACCAATCTCCAACATAACTCACTTCCACAGCAACAGGGCAAGGGGTAAATGCTCTTGCACAGGGAACCTCTTGTCTACTGTGAGCTCTGACAGATCTCCTCTCCCACAATGATCTGCAAGAGTTTAGCACAAAGCCACATCAAGGTGCACATCCTTGCTGTCCTTGAACTGCTCTGCTAGGGGGTGACAGTTTTCAGCAGAGAAGTGAATGAATAGCTCAGAATTGACACTGCCAGAGGATAATACTTCACTCCCAACAACGTTCGGCCACAGAGCCCATCTGGTCTTAGAATCATAGAATGGTTTGGCTTGGAAGGGACCTTAAAGACCATCTAGTTCCAACCCCCCTGCCATGGGCAGGGACACCTTCCACTAGACTAGTCTTACTGGAGTATTTGATGAACCAGGTACTTCCTTTGGTATCATCTACCAAAACACTGTGCTGTTGACTTTTACTCAGCCAGTTCACAACATCCACAGATCCCAAAGGACCTGGTGTAGATGGCAAAGCACACCTTGGGAATTTTTTATTTTTTAAACTGTATCGAACCAGGATGGGACAAAAATCACCACTGGAAGCGCCCTATTTCTGTCAAAGCCTTTCAAACCACAGCCAGGTTCTCCCGCACCCTCCTTTACAGAGCATATTCTCTCATTGTGACCTAGCAGCTGATGAAAGTCATCACACAAAATATAAATAGATTTGAGGTTTATTTTTGCCAATGATACTTAATTATCATTTCAAAGGCTAATATCAAGAAATGTAAACAGCCTCCTGAGCACGCCTACTCTGTTCAGTGGAATCCCTTTTGTGCAGCACTCTCCAAGGCAAAAACGGAAATAAAAACCAGATTCTTCCCCACCTTAACCTGTAATAGTAACAGGCTCTGACTTTCAGCCTGGAATAGTGGAACTGCACTGCCAGAAAAGTAGCTGTCGGGTGGAGACATTAATTCATGGGATGCCAATTCCTCAGTCTTTAAACACAATATGCCACCTACTAAGCAGCAAAGCCCAGTATTGGTATTCAAGAACATCTATAAGGAGATTTTTTATCTCCCCTTAAAACATACCAAGGTTTTTATTCACAGTAGAAATGTATGATTCACAAACAGCAAAACCACACAGCAGTTCATGGAATAACAGATTCACAGGATGGTTTGGGTTGGAAGGGACCTTAAAGACCATCTAGTTCCAACCCCCCTGCCATGGGCAGGGACACCTTCCACTAGACCAGGTTGCTCAAAGCCTCATCCAGCCTGGCCTTGAACACTTCCAGGGATGGGGCATCCACAGCTTCTCTGGGCAGCCTGTTCCGGTGTCTCACCACCCTCTCCAGGAAGAACTTCTTCCTGATATCCAATCTAAACCTCCCCACTTTCAATTTAAACCCATTACCCCTTGTCCTGTCACTACAGGCCCTTGTAAAAAGTCCCCCCCAGCTTCCTTGTAGCCCCTTCAGGTACTGGAAGGTGCTATAAGGTCTCCCCGGAGCCTTCTCTTCTCCAGGCTGAACAAGCCCAACTCTCTCAGCCTGTCCCCATAGCAGAGGTGCTCCAGCCCTCTGAGCATCTTTGTGGCCTCCTCTGGACTCACTCCAACCAGTTGATATCCTTCTTATGTTAAGGGCTACAGAGCTGGACACAGAACTGCAGGTGGGGTCTCACAAGAGCAGAGCAGAGGGGGACAACCCCCTCCCTCAACCTGCTGGCCATGCTTCTACTGATACAGCCCAGGATATGGTTGGCTTTCTAGGCTGCTGGCTCATGTCCAGCTTTTCACTCACTGTTACCCCACAAGTCCTTTCTCCCGAGGGCTGCTCTCAATCCATTCTCTGCTCAGCCTGTATTTGTGCTTGGGATCGCCCCAACCCATGTGGAGGCACCAATAAATCTCTAAAGGTGCACACCTGCACTAATACTGGTTTTGCCAAGTATCTGGGTTAAAGAGCATTTTGTACGAAATCTTGTAACAAGTTATGTACACAGATGGGCATCTCAGGTTCAAAATAATCATTGAAGATTGGATTCCTGTAGCCATAAAAACATTCTCATACAAGAGCCTGTATAACTAAAGGCTGAAATGAGACTGAAATGTGTCTTGCAGGAATAGCATTTCATATCTACTTATAAAGCCAGAATATCTTGCCCAGGAGCGAGAAGGCAGGCAGGCATGTTTTTTCAAATTTACAGAAATTATTTCATTTGTTTCATGAATCAAGGTGCCCAAGAGCAGAGATACTGAAACAACCAGCTACAGCAACTGAGTGATGTTATTTATCAGGAAACTCAAGAGGACAGTTGTTCTTGGGGTGTAAAATGAGCTTCTGCCTGTGTCTTCTGACTCCCTCCTCTCTTCTCTTCAGCACCAGCTTTTGCTCAATTGTGGATGGTGACAAAGCGTAGCTTTTACCTTCAACTTCTCTTAATCCATATCAGACAGAGAAAAGTTTCCTTTTTTTTTTTTTTTGACAGCTAAGCCTGCTGGGTTTCTCATTTAAAAGCTGACTTCTTGGAACACTAGCAGCAATCCCTCTCCA